AATAATTTCGCCTGTTTGCAAATTGCTAAGCGTTATGTTCTTATGTATTCGGCTGGCTGGCTGGCTGGCTGGCTGGCTGGCTGGCTATGGCTATCTCTGTCTGTATCTGTCTATATATGTCTATATCTCTGTCTCTCACATGTACTCATAAATACAATTATACATAATGTAAATTACCTAGGATAACCCAAAAATTCCAGGCCAAGTCCTATACAGTGTTTGTAGATCTTTCTTCTTTCAACACACCGGCCGTATCCCACCGAGGCGGGGTGGCCCAAAAGGAAAAACGAAAGTTTCTCCTTTTACATTTAGTAATATACAGGAGAAGGGGTTACTAGCCCCTTGTTCCTGGCATTTTAGTCGCCTCTTACAACACGCATGGCTTACGGAGGAAGAATTCTGTTCCACTTCCCCATGGAGGTAAGAGGAAATAAACAAGAACAAGAACTGGAAAGAAAATAGCAGAAAATGCAGGTGTGTATATATATATGCTTGTACATGTATGTGTAGTGTGACCTAAGTGTAAGTAGAAGTAGCAAGACGTACCCGAAATCTTGCATGTTTATGAGACAGAAAAAAGGACACCAGCAATCCTACCATCGTGTAAAACAATTTCAGGCTTTTGTTTTACACTCACTTGGCAGGACGGTAGTACCTCCCTGGGCGGTTGCTGTCTACCAACCTACATAAATAAATAAACATAAATAAACATGATGCAAATAATAGCAGTGTCACTTTCTCAGCAATCACGGAGCAGCCCATACACCACAAACCAACAGGTTTACTAGCCGCTCCCTGAGACAGAGACAAGCAGATGGAAAGGCAGACACACACAGGCAGATAGACAAACAGATAAGCAGAGCTAGAAAGACAGATGTACAAAGACAGACAGACATAGAGAGACATGTTTGTGTGTGAGAGCAAAAACATATAAAGGCAAGGTTCCCCCCTCCAGCAGCGCACATTCATCAAATGTCACTTGTTATCTGACGCTTGCCATAACACATTCTTCAAGGAGTTCATATTATACTCCAGGCACACACAGAAAGACAGATAAGCTGAACTGGACAGACAGATAAGCAGAGCTAAGCAGACAGACAGATAGATGTACAGATAGACAGACAGATAGACAGGCAGACAGACATACAAAGACACGTGTGCAAGAGTAAAAACATATAAAGGGAAGGTTCCCTCCAGCAGGGCACATTCATCAAATGTCACTTATCTGACCCTTCTCATAACACCCTTCTTCAAGGAGTTTCATACTCCAGCATGTCTAAAACATTGCTGGGACCTATAAATACTTTGTATATATTTCTAGACAATAGTAAATGACCAAGGCAGGTGAAAATGTTCACCTGCCAGTGTGATTGTTACAATTTGAATACTATTTCAGTACATAATATCAGTGTCAGAACAAAGATTGGCTATGATATCACAAGAAATATTATAAATTGTAATTATCAGTACATAAAAATTATATAAATTAAAATAAAAATGAGAAAAAAAGGTAAATCGGTAACACTTCTGCAAGCGACAAGACTGGATGTTGCCATCAGGTGAGCACCCAGAGCCAACTTCGTGGTCTTATATCCCGGTAAGTACTGGTCCTAAAATTTTTTTTTGTCTTATACCACACAGAAAATTGCCCTCTTTAATTTAAAAACAAAAAACAATTTTTTTATTTTTCAAAATATTCGAAGAGCCACACAGGTGAATGTAGATCTACGTTTGGACAGTTTAAGGGTTAAGAAAGAAAATTAAAATTTCTGGGAAAGACGTCCACAAGATACTGTATAATATACTGCAGATAGGATCTTCTTGGAAACGTTAATAACGGAGGATATTTTAATCAGCAAAAATCTAAATATTGTACCAATGTCTTGACAGAGACTAAACAGAAAGGAAGGAAGTCTAGTTTGTAATTTGTTAAAGGATCTTGCTCTAAGGAAGTGGAGCTGCCTAAGTCCTTTCCTGTCTCTGGATCAAACCTGAAATACTCTTTCATAATATAAAATTAACCCGTAAACGGTCCAAACGTATATATACGTTTTTTCAACATTTGAAAGTATGTAAAAAAAGTAGATCTTCTTTTTGTTTTTCTACATTTGAAAATGTGTAAAAAAAACTTTGATCTACTTTTTTTTTGTTATAGTATTTGAAAATATGTAAAAAACTTAGATCTACTGTTGTAGCACTACACATGTGAACGTAGATCTGCTTGGACCGTTTACGGGTTAAAAGTATCATATATCATTCTTGTAAAATGGTTTATATTTTTGTTAGACTATTACTTTCACTGCTACAGCCCATTTCTTCCTCAGAAATACCATATACTAAACCAATGCAGACTGACAACACCATAAGTGATCTCGCTGGTGCTAGGTTGAGCCTGGGAAATATAAGTTTAAGCAAAGCATTTCTGTGAACTGCTTCCTATATTACTAATTAGTTTTGTACTGAATGGTAATTTTTTTTATGGCAACTTTTTCAATGACAGTTTCTGTAGGACATTTTCATTTTTTTTGAGACCACTGATTTCTTTAAGATGAATGATTTCTAGAAGATAACTGATATATGTAAAAAAGACTGCTTTCTTACAAGACAGCCTATTTCTGGAAGACTGAAATACTGTATGACACAGGTTTGGAATATTTTTCATAAATATACCATACTCAAATGAGGTGGTGCTTGTCAAGAAATGTGTAGTACAGGAACAGGAGAATATGGAAGGAGTAAAGAAGAATTAATAATAATGGGAGGTGGGAAGCACAGTGCCTGCACTCTAAAGGAGGGGTTCGGGATACAGTGGACCCTCGCCTAATGAACGCATCGCATAACGTTAAATCCGCCTAGCGATACATTTTAACGCAAAAATTTTGCCTCGGCTAACGCTAAAAAACTCACTCAATGCGATTCGTTCGAGACGTGTCCACGTGCGGCCTGAGCCCGCCTCACTTGTTCCATGGGTGCCAGTGTTTACAAGCCAGCCACCGCGGTCACTTCCAAGCATACAATCGGAACACTTCATATTATCACAGCCATTTTAGTGATTTTACCCTGCAAAATAAGTCACCATGGGCCCAAAGAAAGCTTCTAGTGCCAGCCCTACAGCAAAAAGAGTGAGAATTACTATGGATATGAAGAAAGAGATCATTGCTAAGTATGAAAGTGGAGTGCGTGTCTCTGAGCTTGCCATTATTATTATTATAATAAAAAAGAAGCGCTAAGCCACAAGGGCTATACAGCTCCGAGCTGGCCAGGTTGTACACAAAACCCCAATCAACCATCGCTACTATTGAGGCCAAGAAAATGGCAATCAAGGAAGCTGTTCTTGCCAAAGGTGCAACTTTGTTTTTGAAACAGAGATCGCAAGTGATAGAAGATTTTGAGAGACTGTTATTGGTGTGGATAAACGAAAAACAGATAGCAGGAGGTAGCATCACTCAAGCGATCATATGTGAAAAGGCTAGGAAGTTGCATGATGATTTAATTAGAAAAATGCCTGCAACTAGTGATGATGTGAGTGAATTTAAGGCCAGCAAAGGTTGGTTTGAAAGATTTAAGAATCGTAGTTACATACATAGTGGAAGGAAGGCGGGGTAGGGGTCGGCCTAGGAAAGGTTGGAGGGAGGGGGTAAAGGAGGTTTCGTGTGCGAAGGGCTTGGACTTCCAGCAGGCATGCGTGAGCGTGTTTGATAGGAGTGAATGGAGACAAATGGTTTTTAATACTTGACATGCTGTTGGAGTGTGAGCAAAGTAACATTTATGAAGGGATTCAGGGAAACCGGCAGGCCGGACTTGAGTCCTGGAGATGGGAAGTACAGTGCCTGCACACTGAAGGAGGGGTGTTAATGTTGCAGTTTAAAAACTGTAGTGTAAAGCACACTTCTGGCAAGACAGTGATGGAGTGAATTATGGTGAAAATTGTTCTTTTTCAGGCCACCCTGCCTTGGTGGGAATCGGCCAGTGTGTTAATAATAATAATAGTTACATACATAGTGTGATAAGGCATGGTGAGGCTGCCAGTTCGGACCACAAAGCAGCTTAAAAATATGTGCAGGAATTTAAGGAGTACATAGACAGTGAAGGACTGAAACCTGAACAAGTGTTTAATTGTGACGAAACAGGCCTGTTTTGGAAGAAAATGCCAAGCAGGACCTACATTACTCAGGAGGAAAAGGCACTCCCAGGACATAAGCCTATGAAAGACAGGCTTACTCTGTTGATGTGTGCCAATGCTAGTGGTGATTGCAGAGTGAAGCCTTTATTGGTGTATCACTCTGAAACTCACAGAGTGTTCAGGAAAAATAATGTCCTCAAGGCTAATTTGTGTGTGCTGTGGAGGGCAAACAGTAAGGCATAGGTCACTAGGGACTTTTTCTATGACTGGTTACACCATGCATTTGCCCCCACTGTGAAAATTTACCTAATTGAAAAGAAATTAGACCTTAAGTGCCTCCTGGTATTAGACAATGCTCCTGGTCATCCTTCAGATGTGACAGAGTGACTTTCTGTGGAAATGAGCTTCATTAAGGTCAAGTTTTTGCCTCCTAATACCACTCCTCTCCTGCAGCCCATGGACCAGCAGGTCATTTCCAACTTCAAGAAATTGTACACAGAAGCTATGTTTGAAAGGTGCTTTGTAGTGACCTCAGAAACTCAATTGACTCTAAGAGAGTTTTGGAGAGATCACTTTAGCATCCTCAATTGTGTAAACATTATAGGTAAGGCTTGGGAGGAAGTGACTAAGAGGACCTTGAACTCTGCTTGGAAGAAACTGTGGCCAGAATGTGTAGACCAAAGGGATTTTGAAGTATTTGAGGTTAATCCTGGGAATCCTATGCCAGCTGAGGAATCCATTGTGGCACTGGGGAAGTCCTTGGGGTTGGAGGTTAGTGGGGAGGATGTGGAAGAGTTGATGGAGGAGGACAATGAAAAACTAACCACTGATGAGCTGCTAGATCATCTTCAACAGCAAGAGGCCACACCTGAGGAAACTGCTTCGGAGGAGGGGATAGAGAAATTGAAGAAGTTGCCTACTTCAAAGATTAAGGAAATGTGTGCAATGTGGCTTAAAGTGCAAACCTTTTTTGATGAAAATCACCCTCACACAGCTATTGCAAGCCATGCTGGTGACTATTACACTGACAATGTTGTGAAACACTTTAGGAATGTCATAAAGGAACGGGAGGTACAGGCCTCTATGGACAGATATGTTGTGCGACAAAGGTCCAGTGACTCTCAAGCTGGTCCTAGTGGCATTAAAAGAAGAAGGGAAGTAACCCCGGAAAAGGACTTGCCACCTCAAGTCCTAATGGAAGTGGATTCCCCTTCTAAACACTAACACCATCAACACTCTCCCCTCCTCCCATCCCATCAATCATCACCAGATCTTCAATAAAGGTAAGTGTCATGTAACTGTGCATGTCTTCTTCAGTTTGTGTGTATTAAAATTAATATTTCATGTGGTAAAAATTTTTTTGGAACGGATTAATTTGATTTCCATTATTTCTCATGGGGAAAATTAATTCGCCTAACGATAATTTCGCCTAACGTTGAGCTCTCAGGAACGGATTAATAGCGTTAGGCCAGGGTCCACTGTATTTGCTGTTTAGAGTGACATCTAAACTGTCGAATCTGTGTGCCTCCGGCAAGACAATGATAATGTGAATGATGGTGAAGCGTTTCTTTTCTGGGTTACCTTGCCTCAGTGGGAGACAGCCAGTATAAGACAGTACAGTAGAAGAGAAATTTTGAAAGGGATTTATGGATAAACAAAAGTAAACCAGAGTTAAACTGCCTTTTTAAATTTTTAGAAGTTAAGCATGAAAGATAAATATGAAAAATTGAGAACAAAAGTTGGATCAACAAAGAAATATATGAAATAATGAAATTGTAATGCTGTATATTATATGCTACCAACAGGCAACTGAAATGTAAACCACCGAAATAACTAGAGAGGAAGTCATAAAATTATTTATAATGACTGGTAAAATAAAAGGGACTGGATAGCATATCAAAGTGTGCTGTAAAGAAAAATGCAGAGGAACTTAGATACCAGTAATGTAAATAAGACATACGATGAGAGTTATGGCATTTTACTGTGAAGACTTTGCATCCATTAAGGACTATCAGTTCACACAGAAAACAAGACATGGGTATTTATTAGGGGTAGAGGGAGGTCCTGAGGAAAAAAAATGAAGTCATGAAATCACAGGTGAGTAGCCAGCCAAGTAGTTGAAGTTAGGTGATCACAACATCAAGTACTAGAGAGAACAAGCCTTACTAAAATGTTGGAGATTGTGAACGGTCCTGAGTGTTGATGGCTGTGGTTATTACTATGCCAATCACTTTCTTTGATGATAAGCCTTGCCTCTGCACTCTCCACAGTGTTCCTGTGTAGAGTGCATGAATTTTTAGTGTTGGTGCTTCAGCATGCATTAATATGTTCTCTGATTCTAATATCTGGGTCTCTGGGAGGTTTCACTGATATAAATATTGTCATTCATTCATAAATGTTATTTCATTTGTGAAATGTTAGTTCATCATTGACTGCAAAAAGAAAGCTAAGAAGATACAATGTAATTTTAATTCTAACACTACACCCAGACAGAAGATAAACTACGCTTCTCATTAATTAAATCAGTAACAACCTATTGCATTCCTTAACTAAAGCCAATATCAGTCACCAACATTTCATCTAAAAAATAAAAAAACTTTAATGTGAAGGAAGCCAATGAGCACCACTGCTGGCATCTATACCATATCATGTGGGTGTTGACAAGATTTACATCTCTGAAATCTCCAATGACCTAAATTTAAGTCAAAGAACACATTAATGCATGCTGAAGTGATGATACTAAAAATGCATGCACTCTACACAGAAACCTTGAGAACCACCTTATGAATTTTCCAGAGGCAAGATTTATCATCAAGCAAAGTGACTGTTGCAACAGATTACACTTATATTGTGGAGTAATAGCCACAATCAATAACATTAATAACAACTAAGGTTCATTCACAACTTTCGAAGTTTTCACAAGGCTTATTCTCCCAATACCTGACGCTTCGATCACCTAGCCTCACTTTCTTAGCTGGCTACTTCCGTGAGACTTTATGACCTCATTCTTCCTTCTCAGGATCTCTCTCCAGCTCTTATAAATACCCATGTTTTGTTCTCTGCATGAATTGGTGACGTACCTCATGGACAAAACGTCCTTGCAATAAAAGGACATAACCCGCACTGTGGGTATTATTTATATACTGTCGGTATACCATTATATTACCATCCCAGCTCTGGTTTATATTCAAAACCTAACTGACAGAGGCAAACAGATTATGTTAAATGGCAATCACTGTACTAACAAAATAAAAAAGGGTTAGTCCCATTGTACTATGGATCTGAAGCCAGGGTCGGTCCCGTTGTACTATGGCTTTGAAGCCAGGGTTGGTCCCATTGTACTATGCCATGAGCTCAGCTCACTCAGATGAGCTGTGAGAGGTAAATTTGGGCCTAGATATGAGAGAATGGATCTATGCAGTAAGTGTGCACCATTTAAAAATCCTGCAGCACACAGTGCATGAGTAAAAAAAAAAAAAGACCATCTGTTTTTGGTTTAAAATAGCGACTTTGCGGTGCATTGTCATGCTTTTTATGGTTGTATTCTCAATTTCTTGGTCTTATTTGATAGAATGGAAGATATATTATACAAATAGAGATGATTTTGATTGGTTTCAGGATTGAGAGTAGCTTGAAATTGAGCTCAAATAGTGGAAATGTTTGATTTTTGCCAAAATTCCAGATTACACAAATATTTGATTTTTGCCCAAATTCCAGAGTATGTACACTTGTCCAATACATGTCTAACTGGCCAGTCTAATACACATTTATGTGAATAAAAATTCAAAATGGAAAGCATGCATAATATAAGAAGGGCCTGGAGACATAATTAGTGAACAGAGAAAATGTTATTTTAGTGCTAAGAATTTCTGCACTGTTTATTCTAGAACCTATTTTGAAATTGGCATTTCTTGAATTTAGTGTGAAATTGGCCAAATTACAGACTTCATGATGGCTAATTTAACCCGATGTATTATTATGATGAGGGTGGAAATGAAAGTTCCTCATAAATGACTATCTTGTAAATTAACAAAAAATGGAGGAATGGGAATTAAAGAACTTTTGCAAGAAAAATAGAAAAATGTACATAAATAACCCACACATAGGACACTGAAACTAATGAATAAGTTTCAGTCTGGCTTGGTTAGTCACACAGAAGCACAAAGGGAAAGGAGGCAGGGCCAGGAATAGTAGAATGAGAGGAGGAAGTATGTATGTATATATGTAAAATGAGAGCCTGTAATTATTTTACATGATGGTAGGATTGCTGGTGACTTTTGTTCGTCTCATAAATATGCAAGATTACAGGTACGTCTTGCTACTTCTACTTACACTTAGGTCACACTACACATACATGTACACGTTTATTTATACCCACACATCTGAGCTTTCTTTGATTTTTATCTTAATAGTTCTTGTTCTTATTACTTTTCCTTTTATATCCATGGGGAAGTGGAATGAGAATCTTTTCTTTGTAAGCCATGCGTGTTGTAAAAGTCAACTAAAATGCTGGGAACAATGGGGTAGTAACCCCTTTTCCTGTTAAGATTACTAAAGAGAAGAAGAAGAAAGCTGTCAAAGTGGGATGTCTGAATGTGAGTGGATGTTGTGCGAATGATAAGAAAGAGATGATTGTGGATGTTATGAATGAGAAGAAGCTGGATGTCCTGGCTTTAAGTGAAACAAAGCTGAAGGGGGTGGGTGAGTTTCAGTGGAGAGAAATAAATGGGATTAGGTCAGGGGTTTCAAACAGAGTTAGAGCTAAAGAAGGAGTAGCAATAATGTTGAAGGATAAGCTATGGCAGGAAAAGGGGAAATATAAATGTATTAATTCAAGGATTATGTGGAATAAAAGAAAGGTTGGATGTGAAAAGTGGGTTATAGAAAGCGTATATGCAGTTTGGAGGGATATGTTGTGTATCTTTATATGTATATGCTTCTAAACTGTTGTATTCTGAGCACCTCTGCAAAAACAGTGATAATGTGTGAGTGTGGTGAAAGTGTTGAATGATGATGAAAGTATTTTCTTTTTGGGGATTTTCTTTCTTTTTTGGGTCACCCTGCCTCGGTGGGAGACGGCCGACTTGTTGAAAAAAAAAAAAAATATGCACCTGGAGAAGAGTGAAGTGTAGAGGAGAGAGTTTTTGGGAATTGTTGAGTGAGTGTGTGGGGAGTTTTGAACCAAGTGTGAGAGTACTTGTGGTTGGGGATTTCAATGCTAAAGTGGGTAAAAATGTTTTGGAGGGAGTAGTAGGAAAATCTGGGTTGCCAGGGGTAAATGAAAATGGGGAGACTTTAACTGAGCTATGTGTAGAAAGAGGTTTGGTAAAAAGTAATACATATTTTATGAAAAAGAGGATAAATAAATATAAAAGGTATGATATAGCACGTAATGAAAGTAGTCTGTTAGATTATATATTATGGGATAAAAGGTTGATGGGTAGGCTTCAGGATGTACATGTTTATAGAGGGGCAACTGATACATCGGATCATTATTTAGTTGTAGCTACAGTTAGAGTAAGAGGTAGATGGGACAAAAGGAAAATGGCAACAACAAGTAAGAGAGATGTGAAAGTTTATAAACTAAGGGAGGAAGAAGTTCGGGTGAGATATAAGCAACTATTGGCAGAAAGGTGGGATAGTGCAAGTATGAGCAGTGTGGGGGTTGAAGAGGGTTGGAATAGTTTTAAAAATGCAGTATTAGAATGTGGGGCAGAAGTTTGTGGCTATAGGAGGGTGGGGGTGGGGGCAGGGGGAAAGAGGAGTGATTGGTGGAATGATGAAGTGAAGGGTAAGATAAAAGAGAAGAAGGTAGCTTATGAGAAGTTTTTACAAAGTAGAAGTATTATAAGAAGAGCAGAGTATATAGAGAGTAAAAGAAAGGTGAAGTGAGTGGTGAGAAAGTGTAAAAGGAGAGCAGATGATAGAGTGGGAGAGGCACTGTTAAGAAATTTTGATGAAAATAAGAAAAAATTTTGAAGCGAGATAAACAAGTTAAGAATGCCTAGGGAAAGAATAGATTTGTCAGTTAAAAACCGAGTAGGGGAATTAGTAGATGGGGAGATGGAGGTATTGGGTAGATGGCAGGAATATTTTGAGGAACTTTTAAATGTTGACGAAGAAAGGAAGGTGGTAATTTCATGCACTGGCCAGGGAGGTATACCATCTTTTAGGAGTAAAGAAGAGCAAGATGTGAGTGTGGGGGAGGTGTGTGAGGCATTACGTAGAATGAAAGGGGGTAAAGCAGCTGGAACTGACAGGAACATGACAGAAATGTTAAAAGCAGGGGGAATATAGTGTTGGAGTGGTTGGTATTTTTGTTTAATAAATGAATGAAAGAGGGGAAGGCACCTAGGGATTGGCAGAGAGCATAATTCCTTTATATAAAGGGAAGGGGGACAGAAGAGATTTATATGCTCTCCATGTCATTCTACTTTGATGCATTCTCTCTAAATGACCAAACCACCTCAACAACCCCTCTTCAGCCTTCTAATACTTTTATTAACTCCACACCACCTCCTAATTTGAACACTCCGAATTTTCTGCATAATATTTACACCACACATTGCCCTTAGACAGGACATCTCCACTGCCTCCAACTGTCTCCTCGCTGCAGCATTTACAACCCAACCTTCACACCCCTTTAAGAGTGTTTGTACCACTATACTTTCATACATTCCCTTCTTTGCCTCTGTAGATAACGTTTTTTGTCTCCACATATATCTCAATGCACCACTCACCTTTTGTCCTTCATCAATTCTATGATTAACCTCATCCTTCATAAATCCATCCCCTGACACATCAACTCCCAAAATATCTGAAAACATTCACTTCTTCCATACTCCTCCTCTCTGATTTGATATCCAATTTTTCTTTAAATCATTTGATACCCTCATCACTTTACTCTTTTCTATGTTCAATTTAAACTTTCTACCTTTACACACTCTCCCAAACTTGTCCACTAACCTTTGTAATTTTTCTTTAGAATCTCCCATAAGCACAGTATCATCAGCAAAAAGTAACTGTGTCAGTTCTCATTTTGTATTTGATTCCCCATAATTTAATCCCACTGCACTAGCCAAGGATTCAAACCCATGTTGTACTGGCCTGCCTCATGGTAAGCAAGAACCATTCTTAAAGGGTTGGGTGGTTCTGCAGTTTAAAGCGTCATATGGTTCTCGCTTACCATCAGGCAGGCCAGTACAACATGGGTTTGAATCCTTGGCTAGTGCAGTGTTGTTATTGATATATATATATATTGTAGGTAGTAGGTTGGTAGACAGCAACCACCCAGGGAGGTACTATTGTCCTGCCAAGTCAGCGTAAAACGAAAGCCTGTAATTGTTTTACATTGATAGATTAGACACATGTGCAACTCTTGGGTATCTGTGTCTAATTTATCAACGTGTCAGTTCTGTGAACCATTCATCTACAATTGTTTTACATGATGGCAGGATTGCTGTTCTTTTTTCTGTCTCATAAACATGTAATATTTCAGGTATGTCTTGCTACTTCTGCTTACACTTAGGTCACACTACACATACATGTACAAGCATATATATACACACCCCTCTGGGTTTTCTTCTATTTTCTTACTAGTTCTTGTTCTTGTTTATTTCCCCTTATCTCCATGGGGAAGTGGAACAGAATTCTTCCTCCATAAGCCATTTGTGTTGTAAGAGGGGAGTAATATGCTGGGAGCAAGGGGCTAGTAACCCCTTCTCCTGTATAAATTACTAAATTTAAAAAGAGAAACTTTTGCTTTTCTTTTTGGGCCACCCTGCATCGATGGAATATGGCCGGTGCGTTGAAAGAAAGAATATATAACTCTCAAGATTTTTAAAAGAAAATTTTTACATTCTACTATCCATCTTCTTTTCACATAGATCTGCATTATATAATTTTGCTCAAACTTTTTTTTAACAAAGAGCATATTGGCTTGTCATCTCAGTGAAAACGTGCTCATCCAAAAATCTTTCCAAACAAAAGCACAAACCAGTAAATGCAACTTTACACAGTCAGTTTGCTTAACACTTTGCAGTGGTGCACTTCTCATAAAAGATTTTCTGTTTTTAATGATTTTATGGTGTAAAACCATTTATTCATGGCTCATTAGAAGAAAAGCTTTACTAATAATGATGTTACCAAAAATGCTCTAGGAAGCCTATGATACTGGAAACAAAGGCTATGATAATGAAACTTAATGATGGTGGAATGCAAAATTGTGATACTGCCAGAAGCTCAAGTTATCTCCAATAGGTACAGAATAATCTGTTTGTGATGCTTATATGTTTTGTTTCAGGCATAAAAGTGGTGTTTTTTTTATATATATAATTTTTAGGTTGTTCAAGAACATAACCACTAATTATGACATGGTACCTATGGGAACTTAACTATTCACAAAAGCAGAGACTGCTTGTCCTTTACATTAGACCTGCAGTTAGAGAAACATGAACAAACTGAAAAAATAAATATAAAAATAAGAAATATGAATTATGAAGAAAAGACTGAAAAAATAAATGTTTTCAACATAATTTTAAAGATGTGTTAACCACTTACAAGTTCATAAATGAAAACAGACAAGGGAACTAGTGTAGAAATAACAATAGAGAAAACAAGACGAGATAATCTTAGATTATGTGAGAGGCAGTGGAATTATTTTGAAATTGAGTAGTTGATGAATGGAATGAGCTTAAGGATGCTGTGTACACAAAAACTACTGTAAGAATTAAAAAATACATATGATAAAGACAGGACACTACTAATTTTCATAACGTGTTTTTAACCACAAGTAGTGTCAACCGCTGCATGTATAGTATGTACATGAACAGCATACTGGTAATTGCAGTTCTGATGCCCTTTAGAACTGTATACTACTACTATAGATGAAAATTTATTTTTTCCCATGACACCCATTTTTTAAATTTATATAATGTACCTGACTACATCAAGAAACTTTCATATTACAAGATTCTTGTGTTTTATCAACTTACATTTTATTTTTTTGTATAGTAAAAAATTAAATCTTTCACTTTTTTTTTGCTTGGATAGTTTGGCACTAATGTTTGTCTTATTTAAATACTGCACAACACTATTTAAATCAAAACCTAATTTTTAATAAACAACTCTGTAGCTTACATGTTTATGTGTGATGGACCAGGGTGAGGCATGTTCATGTGATAAAGTACACCAAGACGAGACATAGCTGCATGATGGTGCATTTGCTGATGCATAGGATGATGCATAGCCATTGGTGGTTGCATGTGGGCAACCTGAGGATGATGCATCATACTCTGAGGTACACTTAAAGGATCTACCAGCACAGTTTGTTCAACCTGAGTAGGAGCCTCTGTAATCTCAGTCACAACTAGAGAATTATCATCTTCTGTAGCAGTAATCTCTTGGTATGCCCCAAGATTGCGAGCAGCCTCAGCTGCTTCATCTACTACTGGTCGCATGTGTGGGTGTTGATGTTGTGGTACCACACCATGATGGTGAGGATGCTGTTGCTGCTGCTGCTGCTGTGGTGGCTGCTGCTGCTGTTGCTGTTGCTGCTGCTGCTGTTGTTGTTGTTGTTGCTGTTGTTGTTGCTGCTGCTGCTGCTGTGGTTGTGGCTGCTGATGAACTACCCCAGGTTGACCCATGTGTGGCATCTTGGGATCCATACCTACCCGTTTCTCCATATGCTTGGCCAATGGTAAGCCATCAACACGCTTTTTACGCAAATAGTTCTCCGAATAAGTCATTTCCTGGGGAACATTATGTTTACTTACCAAATGGTTACGCAGCTTGCTACGGTCATAGTATTCCTTGCCACAATAACTACAAACCTCTGCCTTCCTACGATCATTATGAGCACGCTTAATATGTGTATTAAGTTCACCTACCCTTTTGTAACACTTACCACAAATTTGACAATAGAAGGATGGCTTTTCATGCATCTTGACTCTGTGATATCGAAGAGCATCTGACGTGGCAAAACGTTCCCCACAATACTGACAATTATAAAGAAGGATGCGGAGATGCACAACATTAATGTGTCGCAATAAGTCTGTTTTTGTTGCATACCGCTCACCACACCTATCACACTGTTCTTTAAATTCGGAATGCATTTTCACTTTGTGCATTTTTAGGGACACTTTCAAGACAGTTTTGCCACATATCTCACACTGAACTTTAGGTTTTGAGGAGGAGCCACAGTGAGCTTCTTGATGTTCTCTTAACTTTTTGTTAGAAGGAGCCATAAAGCCACAGTCACTACATAAATACTCAGTAGTTTTACGGTACGTAAGGCTTTTGTTATGATGTTTCCTCATGTGGAATGTAAGTCCTGGAAGGCTGCCTAGCTTACATCCACATTCTCCACAAGTAAAGTCATTGGCATTCTGGCCCGTATCATTAAGGTGCTTGCTATTAATATGCATCTTTAGCTTATACTTAAACAAGAATGTCTCGCCACACTCTTCGCAAGCATATGTTCGATCTTTAAAGGCAGTTTTTGCCCTACCTTTGCCTTCAGTATGACATATTTCTTGGTGGTACCATAAGTCATCTTTGCGAAGAAAGTGTTTATCACATTCCCTACATGGATGACTAGTCTCAGAGTTATTTGCTTTACCTTTGTTAAAGTAAGTGATTACTCCATTTTCAAGAATAGTTTCTTCAACTTCAAGGGGAGTATTATCAATCACAGTGTGAACCTCTTTTTTATGGGTAATGAGATCAGTATATTTCTTGAATTCTGAATCACATTCAGCACAATGATATATTTTTGGACCTTTGTAAGGTAAAACCTTCCTTTTGTTGGAAGATGGGTATTGACCACCGAGTCCACGGCCAATAAGAGTAGATCGTGTTGCCGGGCGACCTCTGCCCCTTCCCCTTCCCCGAATTCTTCCTCGACCCCTACCTCTACCCCTTCCTCTTCTTGTTCTTCTTTTGCGTTCATCCTCTGAGTCATCATCAAAGTCTACATCACATTCAATACTCTCAAAGCCATCATCTAGAGGTTCCATCTTTATTTTCACTTCTGTATCATCAGCTAAAATTGTAGCTTTACGTTTTCTGCCTCTTTGGCTATAAGTTACACGCTCTTCTTGTTTAATCTCTTTCTCGTCTTCAGTACTACTATCCTCTGCAGTACTGCGAGCAAAGCGTTGCTGCTGTTGCTGTTGTTGCTCTGCCTTAGCTTGTGCAATGCCACTGTAATAAAGTTCTTGCACCATTTCTTTTATTCTATCATGTCTCTGGATTACAGAATCAGCTTCATTGACAAGATTGGTACATCCTGAGCAAAGGCAGGTATTAGACTCCATGTTAACCATTTTTCGGCTAACCAAATGACTGATCACCTCCAGGACAGTCTTTTGAGTGTAAAGAAGACGTTGATCATGTTCATACATAAAGAAATCATTGAGAATCTTGCCAGTCTTCCCACAGACAAAACAAGTGTACTGCCTCGTTCGCTTCACTATTTTTTTCTGAGGGTCTTCGTCCTCTTCAAATTCGTCTGCCAACCCTACAAGATTTAAAAGTTTGTAAATTAAAAACAACAGTAGCACAATAATTTCTCACTTATTCAGGTAAATTCCTATCAGGAGAGTTCAAATTACAGCACTACAGTATATAGAGAAGTATGAATAGCTGAAATTATAAATATATCTTCACATGAAAGATTTTAAATGGAGACAAACTTTTAATTTTTACTTGTACAATTTTGAAATTCTGAGAATATTCTGATTTCAAAATTTTTAAAAATATTCATTTATTGAAGGAATATTCATTTATTGAAGGAAGTCCAGAATTTCTGTTGAAACTAATAAAATTTGTTGTTTTGGAGAAATTTTTTATGAAAAATATCAAAAAATATTTTTTGTTGTATGAATTTTTCAGAAAGAGTAAGAATTTTCTCAATTTTAGTGACCAGGATATTAAAAAAAATATATACATAGTGATCAGTAAAAATTAAAAAAATTATACAATATTTTCAGGATTTGAAAGAATTATGAACAAGAAGAAAACTGTTTATAATAATTAAAGCTACTGCATTTTAAAATTAACCTTAGCTGAAAAACAAGAAAGTATTATTTTAAACAAAGAAGTAAATGGATATTTTTTTAACTAATTGCAAATGATTAAAATGTGACTCATAAAATTGTAATGATTCCAAACAAATCACAGAAAGGGTGGCCTTGAACCCATGATAGGCATGTTTTAACTCTTTCAGGGTCCAGACCCCTGATTTCAAACTTGTTCTCATGGGTCCAAAAATCCCCCCTCCCTCCAAAAACAAGAATTATTGTTTCTTATGGAATGATGGAGAATCTTTTTCCAAAGGTAATGACACCAAAAGTATGAAATTTGATGGAAAACTTATGGACTTACACTCTCACAAAGTTAGCAGCCTTGGCAATATTTAAACAATGGCTATTTCACCCACTCTGAATCCGATTTTAGGCCAATTCCACTGTTCCAGTCTACCAAAATCTTAGCTATTTCACTAGTATGCCTTCCATTCTACTGACTGACCACAAGACACTGCCCATTTATCTGTTTGAACTACCTAATAAAGAAATCAGAAATTTGGCCAATTTCATACAAAATTAAAAAATGCTAATTTAAAAATTGGGTCTAGAATAAACAATATAGATATTCCTGGCACTAAATCAACATTTCTTCTGTTCATCAGTTATGACCCCAGGCCTCTGTTGTTACACTTTCCATTTTGAACTTTTATTCACACACAAGAAAAAAAAATACAAGATTTAATGCTATGCAGACCTCTGCATTATTGTAATAATTGTACATATAATGTCAGTGTATTCATGAATGCATATTAGATCAACCAGCTGGACACATATTGGATGAGAGATGTAATTTATTTTATTATTATTATTAACACACTGGCCGATTCCCACCAAGGCAGGGTGGCCCGAAAAAGAAAAACTTTCACCATCATTCACTCCATCACTGTCTTGCCAGAAGGGTGCTTTACACTACAGTTTTTAAACTGCAACATTAACACCCCTCCTTCAGAGTGCAGGCACTGTACTTCCCATCTCCAGGACTCAAGTCCGGCCTGCCGGTTTCCCTGAATCCCTTCATAAATGTTACTTTGCTCACTCTCCAACAGCACGTCAAGTATTAAAAACCATTTGTCTCCATTCACTCCTATCAAACAGACTCACGCATGCCCGCTGGAAGTCCAAGCCCCTCGCACGCAAAACCTCCTTTACCTCCTCCCTCCAACCTTTCCTAGGCCGACCCCTCCCCTGCCTTCCTTCCACTACAGACTGATACACTCTTGAAGTCATTCTGTTTCGCTCCATTCTCTCTACATGTCCGAACCACCTCAACAACCCTTCCTCAGCCCTCTGGACAACAGTTTTGGTAATCTCGCACCTCCTCCTAACTTCCAAACTACGAATTCTCTGCATTATATTCACACCACACATTGCCCTCAGACATGACATCTCCACTGCCTCCAGCCTTCTCCTCACTGCAACATTCATCATCCATGCTTCACACCCATATAAGAGCGTTGGTAAAACTATACTTTCATACATTCCCCTCTTTGCCTCCAAGGACAAAGTTCTTTGTCTCCACAGACTCCTAAGTGCACCACTCACCCTTTTCCCCCTCATCAATTCTATGATTCACCTCATCTTTCACAAACCCATCCGCTGACACATCCACTCCCAAATATCTGAATACATTCACCTTCTCCATACTCTCTCCCTCCAATCTGATATCCAATCTTTCATCACCTAATCTTTTTGTTATCCTCATAACCTTACTCTTTCCTGTATTCACTTTTAATTTTCTTCTTTTGCACACCCTACCAAATTCATCCACCAACCTCTGCAACTTCTCTTCAGAATCTCCCAAGAGCACAGTGTCATCAGCAAAGAGATACTGTGACAACTCCCAATTTATGTGTGATTCTTTATCTTTTAGCTCCACGCCTCTTGCCAAGACCCTCGCATTTACTTCTCTTACAACCCCATCTATAAATATATTAAACAACCATGGTGACATCACACATCCTTGTCTAAGGCCTACTTTTACTGGGAAATAATCTCCCTCTTTCCTACATACTCTAACTTGAGCCTCACTATCCTCATAAAAACTCTTCACTGCTTTCAGTAACCTACCTCCTACACCATACACCTGCAACATCTGCTACATTGCCCCCCTATCCACCCTGTCATATGCCTTTTCCAAATCCATTAATGCCACAAAAACCTCTTTAGCCTTATCTAAATACTGTTCACTTATATGTTTCACTGTAAACACCTGGTCCACACACCCCATACCTTTCCTAAAGCCTCCTTGTTCACCTGCTATCCTATTCTCTGTCTTACTCTTAATTCTTTCAATAATAACTCTACCATACACTTTACCAGGTATACTCAACAGACTTCTTTTTTTTTTTTTTCAACAAGTCGGCCGTCTCCCACCGAGGCAGGGTGACCCAAAAAAGAAAGAAAATCCCCAAAAAGAAAATACTTTCATCATCATTCAACACTTTCACCACACTCGCACATTATCACTGTTTTTGCAGAGGTGCTCAGAATACAACAGTTTAGAAGCATACACATATAAAGATACACAACATATCCCTCCAAACTGCCAATATCCCAAACCCCTCCTTTAAAGTGCAGGCATTGTACTTCCCATTTCCAGGACTCAAGTCCGACTATATGAAAATAACCGGTTTCCCTGAATCCCTTCACTAAATATTACCCTGCTCACACTCCAATAGATCGTCAGGTCCCAAGTACCATTCGTCTCCATTCACTCCTATCTAACACGCTCACGCACGCTTGCTGGAAGTCCAAGCCCCTTGCCCACAAAACCTCCTTTACCCCCTCTCTCCAACCCTTTCGAGGACGACCCCTACCCCGCCTTCCTTCCCCTATAGATTTATATGCTTTCCATGTCATTCTACTTTGATCCATTCTCTCTAAATGACCAAACCACCTCAACAACCCCTCTTCTGCCCTCTGACTAATACTTTTATTAACTCCACGCCTTTTCCTAATTTCCACACTCCGAATTTTCTGCATAATATTTACACCACACATTGCCCTTTAACAGGACATCTCCACTGCCTACAACCGTCTCCTCGCTGCTGCATTTACCACCCAAGCTTCACACCCATATAAGAGTGTTGGTACTACTATACTTTCATACATTCCCTTCTTTGCCTCCATAGATAACGTTTTTTGACTCCACATATACCTCAACGCACCACTCACCTTTTTTCCCTCATCAATTCTATGATTAACCTCATCCTTCATAAATCCATCCGCCGACACGTCAACTCCCAAGTATCTGAAAACATTCACTTCTTCCATACTCCTCCTCCCCAATTTGATATCCAATCTTTCTTTATCTAAGTCATTTGACACCCTCATCACCTTACTCTTTTCTATGTTCACTTTCAACTTTCTACCTTTACACACATTCCCAAACTCATCCACTAACCTTTGCAATTTTTCTTTAGAATCTCCCATAAGCACAGTATCATCAGCAAAAAGTAACTGTGTCAATTCCCATTTTGAATTTGATTCCCCAAAATTTAATCCCACCCCTCTCCCGAACACCCTTGCATTTACTTCCTTTACAATCCCATCTATAAATATATTAAACAACCATGGTGACATTACACATCCCTGTCTAAGACCTACTTTTACCGGGAAGTAGTCTCCCTCTCTTCTACACACCCTAACCTGAGCCTCACTATCCTCATAAAAACTCTTTACAGCATTTAATAACTTACCACCTATTCCATATACTTGCAACATCTGCCACATTGCTCCTCTATCCACTCTATCATATGCCTTTTCTAAATCCATAAATGCAATAAAAACTTCCCTACCTTTATCTAAATACTGTTCACATATATGCTTCAATGTAAACACTTGATCTACACATCCCCTACCCACTCTGAAACGTCCTTGCTCATCCGCAATCCTACATTCTGTCTTACCTCTAATTCTTTCAATTATAACCCTACTGTACACTTTTCCTGGTATACTCAGTAAACTTATTCCTCTATAATTTTTACAGTCTCTTTTGTCCCCTTTCCCTTTATATAAAGGGACTATACATGCTCTCCGCCAATCCCTAGGTACCTTCCCCTCTTTCATACATTTATTAAACAAAAGTACCAACCACTCCAACACTATGTCCCCCCCTGCTTTTAACATTTCTGTCATGATCTCATCAGTTCCAGCTGCTTTACCCCCTTTCATTTTACGTAATGCCTCACGTACCTCCCCCACACTTACATTCTGCTCTTCTTCACTCCTAAAAGATGGTATACCTCCCTGACCAGTGCATGAAATTACTGCCTCTCTTTCTTCCTTAACATTTAAAAGTTCCTCAAAATATTCTCGCCATCTACCTAATACCTCCATCTCCCCATCTACTAACTCCCCTACTCTGTTTTTTAACTGACAAATCCATACTTTCCCTAGGCTTTCTTAACTTGTTTAACTCACTCCAAAATTT